TGACATAAAAACACTTCACATATTTAATATGTACAATTTGATAAATTTTTTTTTTTTTCCTTTTTGTCTTTTTTCGTGACCGGTAACGGGATCGCACCCTCAGTGTCGCGCCCGTACCGCGACCGGCAACGGGATCACAACCCTCGGTGTCGCGCCCGCACCGCGCTCAACCAGTGAGCGGACCGGTCTCTATATGGTATCCGAACCCTCGGTGGGAGCGCCGCCGTGCTCCCAAGCGCTGCACTCTACCGAGTGCGCCACCGGGCCGGCCCAGTTTGATAAATTTTGATGTTTGTATACATGAAACCATTACTATAATTAAGATAGAGATCATATCCATCACCCCCAAAATTTCTTTATGGCTCTTGGTAATCTCTTTCTCTTGCGCCTCTGTGTCCATCCTCTCCAGGCAACCACCACTGATCTGCTTTCTGTCACTACAGAATAGTTTGCATTTTCCAGAATTTTACATAAATGTGATCATAATCTTTTTTTTTGGTCTGGCGCTTTCACTCAGCATCATTATTTTGAGTTTCATCCATATGTATGCCAATAGTTTATTCTTTTTTATTGCTTAGTGGTATTCCATATGTATATACCACAATTTATTTTTTCACCTGTTGATGAATATTCGACTTATTTATTAAAGATAAAGCTGTTGTGAACTTTTGTGTACAAGTGCGTATGGATATATGCTTTCCTTTCTCTTGGGTAAATACCTGTTATGGCTGTATCATATGGTAGGTAGGTGTATGTTTAACTTTCTAAGAAATTTTTGAATTGTTTTCCAAGGTTTTTTTTTTTTAAACCATTTCACATTACAACAGTCTGTGAGATATAATTACAGTTTCAGTTTTTTCTCATCATCAACATTTGTTATGGTCAGTCTTTTTAATTTTAGCTATTCTAATAAGTGTGTAGTGACATCTCATTGTGATTATAATTTGGATTTCCCTAATTACTAATAATGTAGAGCATATTTCATGTGCTTATTTGCAATTCATATATCTTTTTTGGGTGAAGTGCCCGTTCAGATCTTGTGCCTATTTTTTAATTGCATTGTTTTCTTATGTTTTCTTTTAAACTTTTAGGTTTTATAAATATGTCTATGGTCCATTTTGAGTTAATTTTTGTATATGGTGCAAGGATGGATTGAAGTTTGTTTTTTTGCCTGTGGATATCCAATTGTTCTAGCTCTTTTGTTGAAAAAACTATCCTTTCTCTACTGAATTACCTTGGTATCTTTGTCAAAAATCAGTTGTCCATTACACGTGGGTCTATTGCTGAACATTATTCTGTTCTCTTGATCTATTTGTCTTATCTTTACGCCAGTATCACACTGTTTTGATTACTGTAAATTTATAATCAATCCTGAAATCAGGTAGTGTTAATCCTGCAACTTTGTTCTTTCTCAGAGTTGTTTTGATTGTCCTGGTCCTTTGTATTTCCACGTTAATTTTATGATCAGTTTGTCTATTTCTACAAGAAAGCCTGTTACGATTTTGACTGGGATTGAGTTAAGTCTATGGATCAGTTGGGGGAAGAACTGACAAATTAACAATATTGAGTCTTTTGACCCATGAACAAGTTATAGCTCTTTGTTTATTTAGTTTTTCTTTCGTTTCTCTCAGCAAAGTTTTGTAGTTTTTAGTGTGTAAGTCTTTCACATATTTTGTCAGGTTTATTCCTGAATAATTCATGTTTTTGGATGCTGTTATAAATTACATTTTTTAAAAATTTTAATATCTGGTTGTTCATTGCTAGTATATAGAAACACTTCAAAAAGTTCATAGGAAAATAGAATTAAAAGGCATGATGAATCTTTCCATGAACTTGAAGTACCCTCGTACAGTTGATTTTGTATGTCATATCATGCAGCTGTGCTAAATTCACTTAAGTTCCATTACTTTTTTTTTTTGTGGATTCCATTAGATTTTCCACATGAATGATTATGTCATATGTGAATAAAGACAATTTTACTTCTTATTCATCGATCTGAGTGTCTTTCTTTTTCTTGCATATTTGCTCTGGCCGGAACCTCCAGTATTATGTTGACTAGAAGTGGTGAGCATGGACATCTTGTCTTGTTCCTAACTTGAAGGGGAAAGCTTTCAGTCTTTCACCATTAAGTATGATGTTAGCTGTGGGTTTTTTATGAAGGTGTCTCTCTTTGATCAGACTGAGGAAGTTCCCTTCTGTCCCTAATTTGCGGAGATCTTTATCAGGATTGGATTTGGTATTTTGTCATGCTTTTTCTGAGTCTGTTGAGATGATCATGTAGTTTTTCTGTGGCTTTTCTTTTTAGTTTGTTAAATGGTAAACTGTTGATTGGTTTTTTTCAAGTTGCTAAAATCTCGTTTAGAAATTTCGGATCTGTGTTTATGAGAGATGTTAATTTTGTTGTCTTTGTCTGGTTTTGGTACCAGGGTATTGCTGTCCTCACAGAATGAGTTGGGAAGCTTTCCCTCTTCAATTTTCAGAAAGCATTTGTGTAGAATTGTATTATTTTTTCTTTAAATGTTTGGTAGAATTCACCAATGAAGCCATCTGGGCTTGGAGTTTTCTTTGTGGAAAGGTTTTTCTGTTTTATTTGATTTTTAGTTTTGCGTATCATTTTTTTCAAAAAAATAAGTTTTACTGAGGTACAATTTACTACCATAAAATTGACCATTCACTGGTTTTTGGTATACTGTGGGAAAAATTATAAATTCTTTTAATAGATATAGGTGTGTTCAGGTTACTTTGTGTCCTTCAAAGAATTTATTCATTTCTTCTAAATTGTAGAATTTGTTGGCATAAAGTTGTTCATAGTTTTATGTTATTATCTTTTTAATATCTGTAGAATCTATTGTGATGTTACCTCTCTCATTCCTGATATTGGTGACTTGGGTCTTTTGTCTTTTCCTTTATCAGTCTGGCTAGAAGTTTAAAAACTTTATTGATCTTGGCAAAGAATCAGCCTTTGATTTCATTGATTCTTTTTTGTTTCCTATTGCTTTAGTGTTTTATGTATCATTGATTTCCATTTTTTTCTTTATTATTTCATTTCTTCTGCTTACTTTGGTTTAATTTGCTCTTCTTTTTCTAATTTCTTAAGGTAGAAGCTGAGGTCATTGATTTAAGACTTTTAAAAATATTATATAAGCATTTAGCACTACAAATTTTTCCCTAAATATTGCTTTACTAGTATTCCACAAATTCTGATATGTGTGTCTTCATTTTGTTTGGTACTGTTTTCTGTGATGATGGTGTGGGGGGGCAGCTGGCTAGTATGTGGATCCAAACCCTTGACATTTCTGTTGTCAACTGACCATGGTCTTTTAATAATATAGTTTATCTCTCCCAGTCAACAGTCATGCAGGTTACCTCAGTTTTAGCTGTTTTGGAGGATAACTTCCTCTATCTTTGAGATGCCCCAAGGTCCTTCCATGTGATTTTTTTTTTTCTTTTTTGTGACCAGTAAGGGGATCGCAACCCTTGGCTTGGTGTCGCCCGAGAGCGCACTGGCCATCCATGTATAGGATCCGAACCCGCGGCTTTGGCGCTCCCAGCGCCGCACTCTCCCGAGTGAGCCACAGGGGCCGGGCCCCATGTGAGTTTTCACATAAGCCATGCAGCCTATGTTTTAAGTTAAGCCATCCCAAAACACACCTCAAATTTGGTGAAAATATGAGGTAGTGGACAGCCAAAAGCTTAATATTATTTATATATTTTACAGTTCAAGTCCCCACAGCTGAGTTAGTTTTTGTATCCCACATTTCTAAGTGAGATTTGGCTCATTTTGGTCACATGTCCATTCCATGTTCATTCACGTGTGTGGTATGCCCCTTTAGGTACTGTGCACTGGGCAGACTCTAGGAAGAAGGTATGAGGATGTTGCAGTTACACTGCGATCAGAATTGTTTTCTGTTGAAAATTTTGAAAACACAAGTTCTGATTTTGGACATGACCCAATAGCAGTTCTCATGTGTTTCCCCTATCATGTTTTAAGCTCTTGGGGGACAGGAATTATAAGTTTTGCTCTTTCTTTTTCCTTATCCCAAGATTCTAGAATAATACCTGGTATTTAGCAAATGTGTTTGAGTAAGTTAATGAGAATTCCTCATGGGTAGAAAAATTATTGAGGTAAATAGATTCAGAGCAGAAAAAAAGGAGGACAATCCCCTGGAGTATCACAGTTAGCTTAGATTTGTTTGTGGAATCGTTCCACTGTCTTGAGACCAATGCCACAGAGACTCTAATATGACTTTTGTCTGTTGATACAGTTCCTAACCTCTTGTTTTTTTTTTTTTTCCTTGTGTCTGAAAGGAGGTATATATGGAATTAAACTTTTTTTATGGTAGCCTAAGCTATGGGGTTTAAATAGGAATATTCATTCAAGTTAATAATCATTTTTATTTTCAGGATGTGGCTTTATTCCTCCAAGAATTTAATGCTCCTGAGATATTTATGGGGATACTGGCCAAATCCAAGTGTCCTCGATTAAGGGTAAGTATGTACATTTCTAAAGCCTTCCTTTTTGGAGCAATAATAGCAGATAGTGCTGGATAGTCTTTCATTTTTCTCACTTTGGTTTTCTAACTGGCTATAAATCAGCAAATCAACTTGCAGATGTTTATTGAATATTGCCAGGTTCTAGGTAATGAGCTATTTAAAATTATTAAGAGTCATAAAATTTAAATTTGGGCTAGAACAGGGAGATCAATACTTTCCTTGAACAGCTGTGGAAACCAGGTAGGCATAACCATAGCTATGCTGCTAATATATGGAAGAACAGGGAATAGTGCCTGGACCTCCTGTTTCTCAATTCATTGCTCTTTTTTACTCAAAATCCTCTGTTGCTTAAAACCATTCTAAACTCAGCCTGTTGCTAAAGACTCTCCACAATCTGAACCTAACTCATTTTTCCAGCATAAAATCTTGTCTCCAGATGGTCCTTCTGGTTTAGCCAGGCTTGTCTACATCCTGTCTCATCAGCTTACTGTGATCACCATCTCTGTGCCTCCCTTTGTCTGCGTTTCATCCTTCTTAATATTCACATGTGTTATTCGAGGTGGTACTTCTGTGCCTTCCCAAATAAGTAAGCTCTTGGTGGTTATTGCTGGTAATAAACTCCCAAGAACAATAAAGTCTAAATGAGAGGTCTTTATATATGTGCTGTGCAGTGTGCTGTGCTTTATTGCTGTTTAAGTTGCCCCGTGCTGTGCCTATCATGGATGATTAGTAAATATCTGTTGAATAGTATAATAAAGTTATGAATAATTGCTACTTAGTATTTGTTTTTATTACTCCTATGAGGTATACTTTATAGATAAAAGAACTAAGTCTCAGGTTAGGATATGTGTCTAGGATCACATGTAAATATCTGTTGAATAGTATAATAAAGTTATGAATAATTGCTACTTAGTATTTGTTTTTACTACTCCTATGAGGTATACTTTATAGATAAAAGAACTAAGTCTCAGGTTAGGATATGTGTCTAGGATCACACAAGTAGGACAGAATAGAGCTGGGATCTGAGCCTAGGCCTGAATCTGGTATCACCACTGTACTGTATTGCCTCTCTTTCTTTTGAGATTATGAAGTGGATAATTCTGTTATATATTTTTACAAATTGAGCATTGAAATAAAATTTTTGTTTAAGAGAATGCTCTACCATAATTGGGACCTGATGAACCACTTTTTCCTTGAGTCTTTATATTAATATAAAGATTTGAGAGTTATGTAACTTTTTTTTCCTGGGCTTTTCTATCTAAAATATATTGACTCACAATTAGTACTTAAAGAAATGAGCTTATGTCAGGAAATGGCACCTTTTAGCAATTAGTCATATTGTTGTATACATCCGTTAGCCACAGCCTACTACAACAGTGATTCTCAGCCTTGGCTATATGTTAGAATCACCTAGGACATGGGCTGGCAAACTTCAGCATGTCCCAGGGTCACTGATTGCTTAGCCCACCCCAGGGTTTCTGATTCAGTAGGTCAGGGAGAGGGTGCAGGATTTCTAATACATTCCCAGGTGATGGTAGTGCTATGGACAGGGGCCACACTTTGAGAAGCTTTGCCCTAGGGAGCTTTTAAATATCCTGAGTCAGGCCATACCCCAGATGAATTAAAACAGAATCTCCAAGTGTAAGACTCTAGGCAGCTTTTAAATTTTTCCAGGTGATTTCAGTGAACAACCAAGACTGAGAAACTTGGTCTTTGATCGGAAGTTCAATTATTCACTCTTTAGTTTATAAGGGTAATGTATGTGTTTCTTTTCTGCCCCTACTCTCCTTTAATCTTTTCTCAGCATTTGACCACCCAGACTTTATTGAAACTCTCCACTCCTGCAGCTTCTGTGCCTTCTCAGTCTCTGGTCTCTGAACTCTTTGGTCACATCTCTGTCACTTTTATTGGCTTTTTTCTTTCTTCCTTTTTCATACTTCCCTGAGGTGGGTGTAGACCCTGATTCCTTCTTCTCTCTTTGTTCATTTCCTTAGTGAGTTCATGCACTCTTTACACCTTTAAGTTACAACTCTGCCTGTAGGATCAAAGCCCTGACTTCCCTTTTGATAACTGATACTACATTACATCTCCAACTTTCTTTAGGCATTCTCTACTTGCATGCTACATTTTCTAATAGCATATTCCCTCATACATCCTAACTCAATGATTGTCACCCTTGTTTGATCATAAAAATCATCTGCTGGGTAAACAATAGCTTCCTATGCTGTACCCTAGAAATTCTGATTCAGAAGATCTGAGATGGGACTTGGAAATCTGTATATTTAACAAGCTCCCTGAGTGATTCTCATGCTCCAGCAAGTATGGAAACACTGTACTATCTGAACTCATTGTGTCCTTTCATACACCTTCTTTTCCACTTTTCTTGTTAATGGGACCAATGTCTTTGGGGAAATGAGGCAACTTGAAACCTAGGAGTCATGTCCAACTGCTTTTTCCCTTTGCCTCCTGTCAGATTATTTTGCTTTCACCTTGAGAGTCTTCCTCACCTCTATCCCTTTCCATGCCTACCATCACCACCCTCATCTTCTTTCATCTTGGTTACTGAAGAGCAGTAGGGAATAGTGGTTAAATGCTCTGCTGTTTCCTAGTTGAAGATCTTAGGCAAGTTACTTAACTTCTCTGTGCTTTAGGTTCCTCATTTGAGAAACAGACATAATAATAATACCTACTTCATAAATTATTATATGAAATGAAACATGTAAAATGATTAGAGTAGTGCCTGGTAATAAGTGCTAAATAAACATTAGCTGTTATTACCGAAGTTGATTCTTAATTTCTTTTAAACTTTTTTTTCACTATAATGCATTATGTATTTTGCGGCCAGAATAATCTTCCTAATATATTGTTTTGGTATGTGGTCTTCCTTTTCTGAGTACCTTCATGGCTCCAGATAACCTCCCAGATTAAGTCTAAACTCTTCAGCATGGCGTTCAAAACCTTTAATCCCAATCCTTTTTACCTGATGTATTTATATCATGCTATTCTCACACTTCGTGCTACAGCCAGAGTGATTTCTTTATTGTTCTCTGTTTTAACCATGTATATCGTTCCCTTCCTGCCTTTGCTGATACTTTCCCCTTGTTTGAACATCTTTCTTCTTTGCATAACTAAATTCTGTCAACCATATAAGGCTCATTTTATCCATAAATTTTATTCTTCCGTAACTCCTGCCTTTGATCTTTCTTTTCCTTGTGTCTTTCATCCCTTCTCAAATTCTGTAAGCTTGTCATGGTTAGGGTGCAGGTGGTGTACTTCTGTATGCTGCCTCCTCTTCCCCTCCCCCCAAACTTGGCTCAGTGAAAGTTTTTGTTCAAGTTGTTATTTTTGTATTTGTCTTTCACCTCAGAGCCATAGTGACCTGTGGAAATTTGATTTGGCAGGAAATCTGTGTGGGAATTTTAGGTAATATGGCCTGTTTCCAGGAGATATGTGTGTCCATCAGCAGTGATAAAAATCTTGGGTAAGTCTTACTACATTATAATTATTTTTTTAATAGATTTATATTTTATATCCCTAAGGAGATCCTAATCCATAAGAGAGAGAGGAAAATATGAAATACAGTGCTTCCTTTGTCTTGATGAACACTCTCCAGGAACTTCATTTTGTGTTGATGGTAGCAAGGGGCTTTCATACTATGTATAGACATGATTCAGGATTTAAGCCTGTTTTCTTCATCAGTAGCAAAGGAACCTGAATTGTCAGCAGGTGATAAGCCAGGTAGGAAAAGAACCAGTGGGGCAAAACTTGGAGATGGGTCAGCTGACTAGAATCCAAAACACTTTAGGTGCAGGGGATTCAAGGACACAATGATAGAGTCTGGAGAACCTAGATTTGTTGAATAGTGTCATCCTGAGAACCTGGACTTAGATGAGAGGGTAAGACTTGCCAAGAGACTAGAAGATAAAGGGTTGCCTCTGTGATTAAATGGCCTTCATACTTCTGCTTGGAGTCTAGTTCTCTCCCATATGTAGGAAAGTTTTGGGCAGGGGTTTTTTAATGGTGGAAACCCTGGTGGCTACTTTAGGAGCTCTGAGAACACTCTGAAATTATATGCTAAATTTTGTGGGTATATTCATTTTCTAGGCAGAGAGTTCATGGCTATTAATTAGAATCTCAGAGAAATCTGTGACCAAAATAGGTTAAGAAAACTGTTGTAGGCAGTTCTTGTCAGAGCTAGGGTTCAATCACAGGATTCAAGTACCTGGGTCTCTAAAAAAGAGGTGATTACCTCTTCTAGATGTAGAGGGACTTTAAGATCCTAGTTTAAGGTATTTATTCCTCAGTAATATACAGTCATTTATGGAGCAAATGACTTGATTATGTTTGGTCTCTAGTGTTCCCTTCCAAAAACTGATGAGAAATGTTAACACAAGATCCTAGTTTAAGGTATTTATTCCTCAGTAATATACAGTCATTTATGGAGCAAATGACTCGATTATGTTTGGTCTCTAGTGTTCCCTTCCAAAAACTGATGAGAAATGTTAACAAATTTTGTAAATTCAATTAAATGCTTATCTTAAAGCTCATATGGAAAAATTTACATTACTAATGGTATATAAATTTGTTCAGCCACTTTAGAATAGTTGGGCATTATCTAGCCAAGTTGGAAGATATGCATGTCCTGCTACTCAGCAATGCCACTTGTATACAGTAAGAAATATACAGTAAGAAAAACTGCATATGTACATCAGGATACTCATACAATTAAGAGCATTGCTTGAAATAGCCCAAAATTGGAATCAACCCAAATGTCCATCAAAAGTAGTCTGGAAAAGTAAATTTTGTTATATTCATACAATGAATGTCCTGCAGGAATGAATGAAAGAACAATAGCTACATGAGCAGTGTGGGTTCATCTTACAAATACATGGTTTTGAGCAAAAAAACTAAGACTCAAAAGAGTACATACAATATAATTTCTTTCATATGAAGTTCAAAAGCAAAAATAAAAATATATAAAATAGAATGCGAGCAAAGCAAGGAAATGATTGCTGGAAAAGTCAGGACAGAATTGTGATTTGGAATGTACACATGGGGGCTGCAGAGATACAACACTGTCCTGTTTCTTGGAAACATAACTGTTTGCTTTATAATTATTCATTAACTATAGATTTGTTTCCTTATAGGCTTTTCTGTATATATGCTATGTTTCACAATAAAAATGTTAAAAAATTAAAAGAAAATTCTGATATTAGAAATGAAAGAAGTGAGGCATGTGGGTTAAATTTTTTTATTTTTATAGGCAGGTGTTATTGCACTGTTTGTATGACTCAGACCCACCTACTCTGCTGGAAACAAGCAGGTATGCTTTTCTCTTTTTATGAATTCTATAAAGTTACCTATAAGGGAATCTACAAAAATAGATTTAATTCTTCATTCTCAAATTTCCTTTACTGGTTTTGAAAGATAGACATTAAGCTCACATTTATCACGTAGGTTGTTGCTTACTTGCCTTTCCCAGACAGAAGTGGCCAGTGTCTGGGTTGAAAGGATCCGGGAATATCCAGCTATTTATGACAGCATTTGCTTCATCATGTCAAGTTCAACAAGTGGTGAGTTACCAAAATCTAGCAAAAAATTTTTAGGTTATATTTAATTGTTAGGCAACCATGTAAATTTGTGTAAGTCACTTTTTTAAAAAAGGCTTAGTGCAAGGTGAGAAAACATTTAAATTCAAGATATAAAATTTATTCTTAAACTCCTAGGACACCAATAAATCCTCCATTTAAAAATGAAGGAAGATAAGCAAGTTTAAACATATGAGATAAATCACCCTTAGAATAAGTACTGCTTTGGCAACATTTGGCTTTCTTGGGATAGTTTTAGGAATTTTGCTTAACCTTATTGCTTTTAACATTTCTTTTCTTGTTTCAATATCTGCTTTATTCTTTGTAGTTGACTTGCTGGTGAAGGTGGGGGAGGTTGTGGACAAGCTCTTTGATTTGGATGAGAAACTAATGTTGGAATGGATTAGAAATGGGGCTGTTCAGCCTTTGGACCAACCCCAGGAAGATTCTGAAGAGCAGCCAGTATTTAGGATTGTTCCTTGTGTACTTGAAGCTGCCAAACAAGTACGGTAGGTGGACTCTTTTGTGCAAAATGTTCTGGGAAAATCCAATTGCTAGAAGTGTCCTTAGATATAAAAGCCTTCTTAGTTTCCTTTCCACAGGGTGAAGTACACAACCACTCTTTGTTGGATTTGATTCACTGCTAATATTTGTGGTGACGATGTATTTGCTCTTTGCAGGAATGGTAATGGTTGCAAAATTCCTGTTCTAATATCATTTAGCTATGTCAACTTTATTTATTTATTTATTTTTTCCTTTTTGTCTTTTTTCGTGACCGGCAACGGATTGCAACCCTCAGTGTCGCGCCCGTACCGGACCAGGACCGGCAACGGGATCGCAACCCTCGGTGTTGCGCCCGCACCTCGCTCAGCCAGTGAGCGGCTGGTCTGTATGTGGGATCCGAACCCTCGGCAGGAGCGCCGCCGCGCTCCCAAGCGATGCACTGTAGCAGTGCGCCACCGGGCCAGCCCCGAGCTATGTCAACTTTAACTGTGGTTTCTATCTTAACATCATGAGCAATTTTATGTAATTTAAATCAAAGAAAAGATTTTCTTGTGCTGTATTTTACTTTGAACTTTTGACAAGTTCTTTAATTAATATTGGAAATCATTTATTTTCTTGCTTCTGTGTATATATGCCAATCTTGCATAAGTGACTGGTTTGGGGGCTCTAATGTCTTGCCGAGAGAGATTACTAGGTTTAATAGGTCTTTGAAACTGTTTATTGCTGCTAACTAGAAAATTAATTTTTGAACTGATCTGCTTAGTAGTCAGTAGTGCATTCTTCGTGCTTAATAAGCCACGTTAAAACCTATTAATTTTATGTCCTTTATCAAGTGAGGTTTAAATTCATCATCTGTTCCCCAAACCTGCTTCAGTATTCTCAATCTCAGTAAATGATCCAATCATTATCCCATTTGGGTACTGTGTAAGAAATGTGGATGCCACTACTGACTCTTCCCCCGCCCCCCACCGGCCCCCACTCTTTTCCTATGGCCAGTCAACCTTCAAGCCTTGTTTCTGTCTTTTTCTGGGATCCCATGTATGCTACCACCAGGCCACTGTTCTCTGCCACCTGGTCTACTGCCACGTACTCTTCCATAAGTTCCCTGCCTCTGGGCTTAACTCCTTCTGAGTCTAGACTTTAGAGGTATCTTTGCAAAGCACACAGTCATCATCTCACTCCTTAGGATAAGTTCCAAATTTTTTTAAAAATATGACTTATAAGGCCCTGTATAGTGCCTCTCTATTTTTATTCCTTGTACTATATGTTTCAACCATATGAAATTTCCTTCCTTTCTTCAACTGAACCAAGCTCTCCTGCCTCCAAGCCTTTGCACAGTATGTCTTCTCTACCTCAAACACTTCTTTGCCCCTTCAGGTTTCTGTGTAAATATTATATCTCTTAAGATGCCTTCCCTGACCCTCCAAACTAAATAAAGTCTGCTTGCTGTGGTGGTCTTCTATCACCTGAGACTTCCCCTAGTGCCACAGTTCATATCACTTTATTGTAATTACCCTTTTAATTATCTTCTTTCCTGTTAGACTATAAACTTTATGAAGGTAGAGATAACATCTTATGCATCTCTGTTTTCTTAGCCCCTGACATAGTGCCTGAAAATAGTAGGTACTTAAATATTTACTGACTCATCATTTTAATTTTTCACTATCTTTTCACTTAATTGCTTGAAGAACTAAGACTGAGTTTCTGAGAATCCAAAGTGTTAGTTATAAGAATTATACTTACATGGTTTTAGTGTTCTCAGCTAGGGTGCTAGGATAATATTGTGAAGTTTTTTTTTTTTTTTCCTTTTTGTCTTTTTTTTTTTACTGACCGGTAATGGGATCGCAACCCTCGGTGTCGCGCCCGTACCGGGGACCGGCAACGGGATCGCAACCCTCGGTGTCGCGCCCGTACCGGGGACCGGCAACGGGATCGCAACCCTCGGTGTCGCGCCCGTACCGGGGACCGGCAACGGGATCGCAACCCTCGGTGTCGCGCCCGTACCGGGGACCGGCAACGGGATCGCAACCCTCGGTGTCGCGCCCGTACCGGGGACCGGCAACGGGATCGCAACCCTCAGTGTTGCACCCGCACCGTGCTCAGCCAGTGAGCGGGAACCGGTCTCCATATGGGATCCGAACCCTCGGTGGGAGCGCCGCTGCGCTCCCAAGCGGTGCACTCTCCAGTGCGCCACCGGGCCGGCCCATATTGTGAAGTTTTAAGAACATTATTATTATCATGCTTGGTGCAGTGGTCTTTACATTCATACTACAAAAGTCTCTGTCATTTTTTTCTGTTCTAATTTATTCAAGTAAACCAGAATGATGAAGTATCACCTAGCATGTTTCTGCATTGTTGCTTTTGGGGGATAGGGCCAAAAAGAATTTTTACTTCTTGTCCTGTGTGTATTGATTCTGTTACATAATATTTGTTTGCTTCTTTGTTTTACTGTTTCCACTATTAGAATGTAAGCTGTAGTGAGCAGAGACTTTGTTCTGTTCCCTGTTTTATCGTTAGCACCTAGGGCATTGGCTAGCACAGAGTAATAAATATTTGTTGAATGAGTGAATGATTACAATCCCCTGGACGGTGAAGTTGTTGATTCAATACTTTTGCTTTTTGTATTTAGTTCTGAAAATCCAGAAGGTCTTGATGTTTACATGCATATCTTACAGCTACTTACCACAGTGGATGATGGAATTCAAGCAATTGGTAAGATGGTTTATTGAGATGCACTATAGTTAATCATTTAATTGTTTGTTGTTTTTAAATTACTCCTCTCTCTATAATTTTTATTAAGTACAGTGTCCTGACTCTGGAAAAGACACTTGGAATTTACTTTTTGACTTGGTCTGCCATGACTTCTGCCAGTCTGATGATCCACCCATCATACTTCAAGAACAGAAAACAGTGCTAGCCTCTGTTTTTTCAGTGTTGTCTGCCATCTATGCTTCACAAGCTGAACAAGAGTATCTGAGGATAGAAAAAGGCAAGTATCATTTTGGTTCACTAAATTAAATTCTGGAGTATTAGGTTTTAAAGCCCAAGCCTGTGTTTGTTTTTGGTTTTTTTCTCCCATTTTTTTTTCATACTTTTTCCCCACAATTACAAAAATATTACATGCTCTATAGAAAAATTTATAAAATTTATAAAAGGCATCAAGGAACACCAGAGATAATTACATACATTCACATGCATATATATTTTTAAGTCCTGCTTTTTAGCTAACGTTTTTCATTTAGAAATATAAAATGAATATTTTCCTATGTAAACACTTCTTTTCACAGAATGATTTTTATGACTACAGTTAAGTCTGTGATTCATTTAGAATTTATTATGTTGTCACATGTAAGGTAGGGTTTCAGTTTTTTCCAGATGACTACCCAGTTGTCTCAACATCATTTAGTGGATACTTCAGTTTACCCACACTGACTTGAAATTTCATCATTACTATTTTCTTAATTCTCTCATATGTTTTATTTGGTTCCTTGCTCTATTCATATATCAGTAGCCACAGTGTTTTAGTTATTAAGGTTTTACATTTTAATACCTTGTAGGGCTAGTCCCCCTTCATTCTGATTTTTCAGAGTGTTTTTAACTTGTTCTTATTTAACACTGAATTAGATTAAGTTCCAAAACCAAAAAATCTTCCTGGTGAGTAACAGAACATGTTATACTTTTTCATTTGATCAAGTCTTATTTTGTGTACCTCAGTAATGATTTTATGGCTTTCTTCATATAAATCATTTTTTTTATTAGGTTTACTCTTAGATATTTTATCTTTTGGGTTGCTATCATCTATGATGTATTTTCTTCCATTGATTATTGATGGAATATATGAAGGCTATTGATTTCTGTATATTAATTTTTTCCAGTAACCTTACTGGATTGTCTTACTCCTTTTAATAGTTATTCCAGTGATAATCTTGGGCTTTATCTCATACTTCTTTGGCATTAAGTTAGATATGTTTTACCACTTTTCTATCTCTGATTTCTCTCTCTTACCTAATTTGATTGCCTGATACCTCTGATGTTAAATATAGTGGTGATAGAAAACATCCTTATTGTGTTCCTGACTGTATTGGGAATGATTCTAGAATTGTATCATTAAGCATTATAAAGTATTTATTTTACCATTTAAGGAAGAATTAATCTGTTCCTATTTTATTAAGAGTTTTATATGTTGAATATGTTCAAGTGTCTTTTCCGCATTATGGATGGATATAGCTTACCTCATAGACAAGGTGACATTTAGTACAGACCTGAGGGAGATAATGGAAGGGGGCACGTCAACACCTGGGAAAAAAGCATTCCAGACCAAGGGAACAGCGAGCGTAAAAGCCCTGAACTAGATATGTGCCTGATATGTTTGAGGAAGAGCAGTGAGACCCTGTATGGCTGGGGTGGATTTAGCAAAGGAAACAGAAGTAGCACATGGGGCCAAAGAGGTAAAGTGTGGAGGGCGTGATTTTGCATTTTACTCTGAGTGAGATAGGGATCCATGGAGGTTTTAATTAGAGATTGAATACACATTAGCTGACTTTAGTAGGCTGCTGTGTTGATAAGAATCTGGAGGGGGCAAAGGTACAAAAGGGAGACCAGGAGGCTGTTGTTATAACTGAGGCAAGGGATGTTATAATTTGGATCAAGGTGATAGCAATAGTCAGATTCTGATCATTTTTAGATAGTACCAATAGGTTTTGCTCACAGGATGGGGAGGGTGAGAAGAGAAAACTCAAGGATATGTTTGGCATTTTGTGCAAAAAATGAGATAGGGAAGACTGAGCTAGGGAAGACTGGTTTTAAACATGTTAAATTTGAGATGTCTATTAGATGTCCAAGTGGAAGTGTTGAGTGGGCAATTTGAGTCTGGGGTTGAGGTGAGAGGCCTGAGCCAAAAATATAAATGTTAGAGTTTCAGTTGTTATGCTGTTTAGGTCTTTCATAACCTTTGTTATTTCTTGTAACTTGATTTGATGTAAAATGAGAAGAAAACTAATATCTTTTAATACAGTTATGTTTGTTGTTTTCTCTTTTTATCATTTGCAGTTTGCTTAATGAGTGTTCGTGGCATGTTATTTGGTATACAGATGTTCATTTAAATTGCCCATCTTTGTCTCTTTTAATGCTTTTTTGGCCTAAATCCTTTTTTACTAGATACAAAAATCACTATCCCTGTTTTCCTTTTGTTTGCACTTACTACTGATACCTCTGCCTATCCTTTTCAACCTTTCCAGATACTTTGTGTTGGTGTATTGATTTCTTTTAATAGGTGAGTTAAACTCATTTATATGTACTGATATAATAGTTATGTTTGATCTGAATGGTGTCATGTTTTCATTATATGGTTTATTTGCTTTTTTTTTTTTTTTTTAAAGATGACCGGAAAGGGGATCTTTTTTTTTTGTC